GACCTGGGCATGGACCATCTGACAGCTAATTACGCACAAATAGCAAGCTTCTTCCCCAGGACGGGCATCTCTCCTATCTGAGGGCCAGCCAGGGTCAAAATTTAACAACGAGTTTCCCTATTGCAGTGGGGAAGAAACACAAGTCATGAGCAAATTAGTGTCTGCATTGTGATCCAAAGTTCTCTTTTATTAGACAGAATTCTTAATCAACCAGGAAATTGAGCATACCATGAACTAGCAACCATTTTGCTATCTCCCAACCTGTGGAAATAGCAAAGCTATTGAAAGAGCAGAAGCCAGCCATGTTGTTAAGTTGGTTCATTTGCCAGCCACTGATTTATTAAACTTTCATCAAATTAACTAACTTCAAAGCTTCCTAGAGCTTACTGCTGCATGAGATTGCTGGTGAAACCAGTATGCAACTGGTTTTTACTGAGCTATTTTCCCCCGGCTTCCTGAATGAAATACCTTCTCTTATATAGTAACATTATAGGATTATGGTTTTATATCAATTTAATGTTTTATTAGCTTGTATTTATGTATTTGGAAGTGACAACAAATGATTAAGATTCTCCAATACTGATTTCTATGTATATTTTTAAAAGATTTAGCAGGAGAAACATGTATTTTCAGGATAGAAATGTCCATTCTTCCTAGTGTCTTTTAATTCATTTCGGTAAATGATTATGGCCAAAGTATGTGTAACTGTGGGGCAGATAATATCTCTCTGTAGGGCCTTTTCTTTTTCAGGACCATATTCTTCTTAGTCTAAATGTTTCTTAGGTACCTACTATTCCCCCATGCCTTCTCTACCACCCCTCGCCTTCTAAATAACATCTTTCACCAGATGTCTTTACTAAATGAATCCTTGCTTATGAGTTCCTAAAATTGCAGTAGGTACACCAAAACTCTTCAAGCAAGAGAATAAAATCTAATCATATAGAATTTCCAATTTTAACTGCAAGAGGGGATTTTGCTTTAAAATGGGAAGCCCCTCGAGGTTTCTTCAAAGTATAGAAGGGCCACACTCCCCCATCTGTGACGAGCTGGTGCTGCAGGGTCTCAGTGACCACTCCAACTGAGCGAGGTGTCACAAAGGACAATTTCTGGGTCAGGATGGCTTTTATACATAGAGATTTGACAGAAACAGTTCAATTGTCAACAAATGAATGATACCATTTCAAAGCATGTTTTATATACTTAGCTCAAAATAAGGCATACTTTCATTAAAAGTGAGAATTAGGAGAAGCCAAAAGTAGGGATAGGTGATAAACTTTCAGGGCTCAAGGAATACCTATTAACAAGTGTTTGCACATCAACACATATACCCTCACTGAGCAGATAGTTTGGTGGCTTTTTATGCATGGATAAGACCTCCATGGGAAGGTGATCTGCTTTTTCATTCTTAGCTTAAAAAAAAAAAAGAGGAAGGATGGAAGCAAGGAAGGAGAGAGAGAGGAAGAAAGGAAGAAAAGAGAGGGAAGGAGGAAGGAAGGAAGGAAGGAAAGAAAAGAAAGCAAGCAAGCAAAGAAGAGAAAACAGCCTTATTCTTCTAATAAGTTGAGCTAAGGGACTAAAAGCACTCAAGAGATAAATTATAGGTTAAAGAGGCAAGCATCTGCACTGAAAAGCATCCGCAAAGTAGGCAAAGGCCAGTGGAAGAAGCCATCCAGATCAGTCATTGAGACAAGAGTTGAGACATTTTTCTGAAAATAATTAAAAAATAAGGTTGAAGAGGGTTTGAAATAGTACATTCTACAAACATACTTCTATTTCTTCGAATCTCTGAGTTACCTCTTAGTTTCTCTTGTACCCTTCAATTATAAACTTTAGACTCTTTGAACCAAGCATTTTTGGAAGCAGAAGTACGACACTCTGCCCAGATCCCATCAGAAGGTTCTGTGCCCTGGTGAAGAAAGCAAGGCGGAAGGTGGAGTCAGACCAGGAGACCTGGTATCGCTGGTGAGCTGAAGGACAGCCTCAGTCATCATCTAAACCAGAGAGAGAGCATCAGGGCAAACATTCCAAATTCAAAGACCATGGAGTCCGCTTTTTAATAAATCGCTAACTGTGTGGGGGAGAACAGAAGTTGGGCTGGGAGAGGGTAACTTTGAGGGTTCAGTGGGACTGAGTATGGCACACCAGCCATATTTCTCTCAGTTCTCTGTCCCTGTGGTGAGAGCTTGATAGTCCCATGTATCAGCACCACAGCCCTCCCGTGGCAACTCTAAATTGCAGGCATAATGCCTGCACGGGGATAATGGGCCTCTAAAGGTCTGGCCTAGAATTTCCAACCCTATTAAATGAAAGCAAACAGAACAAAAGCCAAAAAGGGAGTTGGAGATTAATCATCTGGCCTAGAAAACGGGTGAACCAATGAAATTGAACCAATTTCAATGTTATCGAAATATATGAACACACTCATTTTAATATTAAAAAAGAAATTAGAGAAAGGCGTGAACAATCAAATCGCCCAGATTTCCTTTTGAAGATTTTTCACATCTTAACCATTCATCTTGGGGCAAATTGGAAAGAAATTCTGAACACACTGAAAACAGGGATGATATTGTATAAAGTGGTCAGAGTTTTTTCCCCTATCCTTTAATGTTCTTCCCAAGAACTTAGTAGAATAGAACTCATAGAATAAATGCTAAATAAGCATCTGTTGAGGGACCAAGTCCATGATTGAATGAATAATTAAGGGAATGAATTGATCAACGAACAAGCCTATTTTCCTAGGCTTTAGCCACAGGCAAAAACTCACTCCGCTCAACTACTGTTTATAAACCCCTGCTCTCTACTGACCCCAGACTTGGGGAAGGGCTGGTTCTGTAAACTGTCTCCAGGGCTCATCATGGTCATTTCTTAAATCCTTAGTGTCTGCTTCGTACGTGTGATGAAACAGCGTTCTTACACGCCAAGATGGCTGCCTCATTGCTAAATTCAAAGCAGTTTCTTTTTCTCAATCTACATCCACCTTGATGAAGCAAGTGATAAAATTGGAACACGGTCTCTTGTCTCCAAATCTGTATAATGTGGCAATCACGAGTCTCCACAGATACAACTGAAGTGTGCTTGAAATGCAACTCACTTTATTTTTTTGTAGCTCGATATAATACCATTTTTAGACCCCTTTCTGCTTGGGTTATAAAATGTGATCTCAACCAACCTGGGGTGGCCTTCCCGGCCACTTCAGTCCACCCTTAGGTATTCTGACACTCTCTCAGCCTATCTCCTCATACAGACATTTTTTTTTTTTCTGGGAGCTTTATCCAGGAAGCAAGTCAAAAAGACCTGGGCACTTTGATCCTATAAAATGTGAGTTAGGTTATCTGCCCTGAGGATCAGATGACAGGGAAGATTATCTCCTTTTCTTGGGGCCCTGTAATGTCTGATTACAGCTTTCTTCTGTTTTGCCTCTCCCTAATCCCAACCTGGAGAATCTTTAGAAGGTTTGGGAATAGAAACCTCTTTGTACCTATTTGTAGTAAAAACATAGTTTCCCAACTATTATCTATACCATGATGTCTACAAGACTTGGAACTCAAAAGCCAAGAAGTGATTTATTTTTTGCTTTCTGCTGCATCATTCCTACCTTATAGGTTTGTGTGCATATCTGATTATATCCTTAGTAAGTTTTTCTGAAAATAAACTATTCTTTATAAAGGGCTTATTTGATGCATAACAATAATGCTCTCTGGAAAAATCGTGTCAGTTTGTGTTAAGTTACTAGCCTTGTATGACAGTCCCATTTCCCTCGGTCCTTGCAAATACACCCTATTTTAAAAAATACATATTCACCATTTTAAAATTATAATTATAAATGAAGTATTTTGTTTTCATCTGTACTTCTTTCATTGCAAGGGAGCTTAAACATCCTTTCATAGGGTGTTTTTTTGTTTTGTTTTGTTTTATTTTAATTATTTGTCCCTGAGTTCATGAGCCCATCTTGCTTAGGACTTTATAGACTCTTCAGAGTCCTTCATGGTAAGAATATGAACAAACTGTTATATACTAAGAATATTTTTTCTTGTTTGTTATTTGGCCTTTTTATTGTATATGAGATCTAGAAATGTACAATTTGTAAATCTGATTTTGTGATTTTTTTCCCCCTTGGCATTTTTACCTAAGCATTCTTTCTCCATTGCCAGATGAACGTTTCAGCTCTGCTTCATTTTAGTTGTTTTATGGTTTTATTTTTCCATGTAAATTTTTATTTATTTGACAGAGAGAGACCAAGCAGGCAGAGAGGCAGGCAGAGAGAGAGAGAGAGAGAGGAGGAAGCAGGCTCCCTGCCAAGCAGACTTCGATCCCAGGACCCTGAGATCATGACCTGAGCCGAAGGCAGAGGCTTAACCCACTGAGCCACCCAGGCGCCCCTTTTCCATGTAAATTTTTAATTGGTTATGTTCAGCATAGTCTAGGAGATAGGCTCTACATTATTTTCTATCATTTAATGATTTGTTTCAGCATTATTATTTAGCTGTCCTTTGCCCCTTTGGTCTAAATCCCACATTTATCGTCTAACAAAGTTTTACGCATGATGGATCAGCTTCTAGACTCTGTGTTCTGTCTGTCCCTACAACAATAAGACACTGCTTTAATCGTGATAGATTCCCAATCACATCAGTCTCTGATAGCGAAAGTTCCTCTTCGTATTATTTTTTTCTTAAATTCTTTCAGAATTTCCTTGGCCAGTGCATTTCCTCTTCCAGCTGAATCCCACGCTCAACGTTAGCGAGGTCTCTTAGGTTTTGGTGGCTTCTCACCCTCCAAACCTGAACCCCCATTCAATCCGTCCTGTACCCTAGTGCGCCCTAACCTGCCTCTCCTTCGACCACAAACGCAGTAAATAACAACAGTCCTGGCAGCGCGTCCCATCCGCCGTGCCTTCTTGACCTGTCAAACCGGGATTTGAATGAGACCCTAATGGCAGATGGGTCTCGCAGGGAGAAGAGGGCGCGAGCTCTCCCCTTTCAGCGCTGCCCCTGTCTTTTCAGAGCGTGGAAGGGGAGCACCACGAGAAAGCGGTGGAGCTGCTCAAGGCTGCTAAAGACAGCGTCAAGCTGGTGGTCCGCTACACCCCCAAAGTCCTGGAAGAAATGGAGGCGCGCTTCGAGAAGCTCCGCACGGCCCGGCGCCGGCAGCAGCAGCAGCTGCTCATTCAGCAGCAGCAACAGCAGCAGCAGCAGCAAACACAGCAGAACCACATGTCCTAGGTGAGAAGCGCCTTCTTCACGCACAAGCGAGGTCCCTGACGCAGGCGAGTTTGTTGAGGGTTTTGAATACGTATTGTTACTGAGACCGCTGGGACAGAAGCAGTAGATTTAACAACCCCCACCCCCGCGCCCCCCGAATCACTCAAGCAAATAAAAACAATGAAGACCTCAGAAAATGTGAACAAGATAGTTGCTGACTTTCCATATGCCGTTCAGCCGTGTTGTGCAAATGTAAGATATTTTGGAAAATAATATACTTGGGAGGGCCAGGTAGAGACTCTCTAGGATGCCTCTATACACATGAGGGAAATGCAGCCTCTGTGCAACCCAGGTCCTTGGGCACAGAGCTCAATGACAAGAATGCGGGCTGGGTTCCAGCCCCCCACTCACCCTCTTGGCCAGTTGCCTTTGCACAGTGTACAGACTTACTAACCATATAGTGCGGATCCTGGGAAGATCCCTTTAGAATACTGATACAAATTCCTGGAAAACTACTCCATGGTGAAGAATGATGGGGAGACCTGCCAGTGTGGGTGCTCGGAGAGACCCAAAATTCTCTGTGGGTGCTCACTGAAAATGTGATGCTCTTGCCTTTTTCTAAATACCACTGTGACAAAAATTTTTATTCAGGTCTTACGATATGCTTTTAAGAACATTAAGGGGAAAAAATGTAAAGAGTAAGAATCCCGGTCTTTGAAGTGCTTCCTATGTGCTAGGCTTTTCTCCCATGTTATTCCTTATCCTCAAAAAAATCCTTCCAGGTAAGTATCTCTAAAACCCCATTTTTTAGATGAATGATACGAAGTTGCAGTGGCTTTGGGGAGCCCTCACAACCACACTTTCAAGGAGTGTAGAATTATTTTCCTTTTTGCTATTGCAGGCCATTCCATCTGCCAACATCAGATAGTCTGGAGTTCTATAAATTGTCCTTGCTTTCCTTTGGAAGGATAGTTAATAGCATAAAACACCTCTCCACTATGATGTCTGCAAATGTGATTTTGAAGGGAGGTCCAGATGTTCTTGGGAAAATGGCAGTAGGCATTTTATCAGACTACTATTGGAACAACCAGAAACATTGGATATGACATGTGACTTTCAATGGTTTGTGACTCACACAAAAAGGAGAAGCTACATGGGGAAGTATAAAGACTACAGGATTTGTCCTCAGACATGGCTGAGAATTCAGCAGTCTAACTTTCTTTCATAGCTTGTAGGTTTTATGGTATATATCCCATAGTTTGGTGACTTCAACTAAAAATCACCTTCCATTCACTCTAATTTTTTTTAAAGAGTTTATTTGTCAAAGGCGGGGGGGGGGGATGGGGACAGAGCACAAGCAGGGGGAGCAGTGGGCAGAGGGAGAAGCAGGCTCCCTGCTGAGCAAGGAGGCCGATATGGACTCCATACCAGGACCCTGTGACCTTGACCTGAGCCAAAGGCAGCTGCTTAACCAACTGAGCCATCCAGGCGCCCCACCTAACGTTCACTCTAAAAACTACATTTATTCAGCCACAAGTATCTATTTGGTACTGCCCTGGGCTTGACACTGTCCAATGGGCTGTAGAAACAGCCTGAGCAAAGCAAAGTCCTTGCATCATGATGCTTACCTTCTGGTTGGAGGAGATAGTTAATATCCAGGTAAATGAAAATAGCCTATGGGGACCAGTACTTCAGAGAGTTCAAGTAGAGTGCTTTGACAGACACTGGCTAGATGACAACCTTCTATTAGGTGATCGGGGGAGACGTCTCAAAGGAGAGAACTTTTATTCTGAGGTTGAATGCTGAGGAGAGGCCAGAAATGAGCCCAAGAAGGAAAGGAGCTAGCCAGTGCCTGGCTCTAAGAGAGACATGAGCTATTTGATGTTTGAGGAATAGAAAGAAAGCTGGGGTAGTTAGTTAGGAAATAATGAGTAAGGACAGAGAGGTAGATTGGGGCCGGGTCACAGAAAGCTTTTTAAATCACGGAGGGAAGTTAGATTTTATTGCGGTGGAAGCCACTAAATGTTTCAGGCAAAGGAGTGACATGATCTGATTTATGTATTTAAAAAGATCACTCGTGCTGTTCTGAGGAAAATGGATTATTGCAAGGTAAGAGCGAGAGCAGCGACTAATTAGAAAGCTGTTACAGAGCAGTCCAGGCAACAGATGCAGTGGTTGGACCAGGATGATAGGGTTGGGATAGGGGGATAAGGATGCATGTGGACAAGACAGTTTGCCCACGTCGTTCTCCTCTCTAACCCATTGCATATACAAAGGTACTTCACCTCGCCCGGTACTGTCAGATCCCTTCAAAGGTCTTTTTTTCCTAATATCCATCCACAATTCTTTAGTCAAACGTGGAACTCTTTCCACTAACTCATTTTTTTTTTTCTTCCCTCCTCTGTAATGCGGACTTACACCGTTTTCCTAATTGATTTGCCACACTGGCCCACAGTGAAATTATTCTAAAGTGTTTTAAAAGAAATATGTTGCCGTTCAGACTTCTGAGGTCTTACTAAAAGCTTCCACTGTTCTATCCATTCAATCATCTTTGGAAGGATACAGCTTGGCCATGACTGTGGGCTGGGCCGTGCACCCCATTTCATTTCTCTGCTCCATCAGTCTTCATTAAATCACTTCAGAATTTCCTATTGTCGCGTTGCCAAAGACTAACATTTTTAATAAAAGACATTTACAAACTCTTTTTCTCCTGTAGAGGATATGGGAAAGTTCTATTTAAATGAACGTGAAATTTACATTTATGCCTGCCAAGATAGCCCTTGGTATGCACACGCTCATGGCCTCTTGAGGTGAAATGGTAGTGGCCACTTTAAGTAGGAGCAAAGTGGTACCGAGTCGTGTCACCCATGGATTTTATGGTGAATTCAGTCAAAGAGACCTGCATTAGCTCTTGTTCAACTCTTAATTAATTAAATTTTTAAGGATTAAATGGGATTTGTTACACTTACTAACTCATACTATGGTTGCTTTGGGGAAGAAATTTGAAGCTAATTTGACTAATTTACTTTGAACCGATCTCTGATTTTTTTTTTTTTAAGTTTGACAAGTCATGCAAAGACCAAATAAAGCAACATACTTGTCAGATAGTCTTATTGTTTATCACGTGAAATATAATTTCTATTCTCTAAATTAGGAATTTTTAAAAATCGAAAATGGTGTAATTTATTAAGTAATGGTAAGTAGTGCATACAAATGGAAAACAGGTTGAATGCAAGTGGTATGTGGAGACTATCTCTGTTGCCCACTTATAATTTCAAACTCCCCTGAAATAAAACTCACTTGTCTTTCCCCCTAACTTCCATGTTTCATAATCAGGAGTAGATTACATTTTCTAGAAGGTAATAGAGATGATCACTATACAACTGAATTGTAGAAACCTAAACAGAGAAGAGGAATAAAGCTATTTTTATGCTACCCCCACTTTCTTGGCAAAGAGCAGTACATTTACTCAGCTTTAAGCACCTCATTTTTTAAAGCATCATTTTATAGACATCTCTGTTTCACTCAGATTCACAAAGAGTAAAAGGAGGAAGGAAGAGGAATCCTTCTTGAGTTGTCAACATTCTGAGGAAGTCAAGACTCAAAGATTGTCGAATTTCTCTGGCCTCCTGTTGCTGGGTAGACAGTGGAGAATTCCCTGCATTCGAAACCAGGCTGGATCTTAATAGATTTACAAATAGCTGGAGCTTACCAGTGGCCTCACCACCTGTCAGGCCCCCACTCTCCTTCCCTTGTCCGCTACCGACCGTCTCACTTCCCACGACCAGGGCCCCAGCCGCCGTCCTGCTGGTCCGATCCAGGGACCCACTGCAGAATGGAGGAAACCAGCCTCAAAGGATGACTCTGATAAAATCGAATCCAAGGAACCCAGAGTTCACCAAGCAGAAAACCAGAATAATAGCAATAATCATCGTAATGCCAAGTAACATTTATTAAGCAATCAGGGTGTGCCAAAAGCCTCTTCTAATTGCCTCATCCATGTTCAAGTACTTTATCTTCACAACAGTCTTAGGAGTAGGAGGTACTATTTTGAATCATTTTAAAGGGAGAAACTGAGGCATATAGGATTTTTAAAAAATCTATACCACAGTTCACAGCTTGTAAGTGATAGGGCCATGATTCGAACCCAGAAACATGGGCTTCAAAGCGTCTTTCTCTCCATCACCATGCTACACTTCTGCTTTCTTCAATGGCACCTGCCCTTACATTCCCCCATCCCTCCTCACAGGACGTGGTCACACGAGCTTTCCGGGGATTCCTTCTTACACTACTTAGAGTCATCCAATTCACCCTTCCCATTTACCCCGTACTTCAGAGTACCCCCATCACGTCAGCTGTCTTCATTTCTTAACTGCTGCCTTAAAAAAATTACCACAAATTTGGTGGCGTAAAGGAACACAAATTTATTATCCCGTAATTCTTTAGGACTGAAGTCGAGCACAGTCTTTCTGGGCTTTAGGAGGCTCCAAGGAGAAAATTCATTTTCTTGCCTTTCCTAGCTTCTAGACGCTCTCCCAATCCCTTGCCTCGTGGTCCTTTCTCCATCTTCACAACCAGCAAGGGTGGTTGAGTCCTCACTGCTTTGCTCTGACATCTGCTTTCACATCACTTCCCCTCCCTTGGCTCCTCCTTCTCTCTCCACCATCCACTTTTAATTATGTTAATTACAGATCCTACCTGGACAATCCAGGATCCTCTCCCTGTTTTAACATCAGCTGTTTAGCAACCTTAATTCCATCTACAACTTTAATCTCCCTTTAACGTGGTATCTAACATTGACAGGTTCCAGGGATTAGGACATGGATAGATTTAGGGTCCATTAATCTGCTACCACAACGGCTCATTTAAAAGTTAGCAAAGTGGGCATCTGGGGGGCTCCGTCGTTAAGTGTCTGCCTTCGGCTCAGGTCATGATCTTAGGGTCCTGGGATCCAGCCCCACATCTGGCTCCCTGCTCCGCGGGAAGCCTACTTCTCCCTCTCCCACTCCCCCTGCTTGTGGTCCCTTTCTTGTGGTCTCTCTCTCAAATAAATAAATAAAATCTTAAAAAAAATAAAAAAATAAAAGTTAGCAAAGCAATCAGAGTGATAAAATTTACATTAATATGGGAAAAAAGGCTTTTATTTAAACAAGTAAAAAAATCAGTGATCCTTTGAATTACAAATCAAAGCAATGAGAGAAATAATGAGAACATTTGGTGCAGATGGTTCTTCCCAGTGGGTATTTCAGTGACCCACATTTTGGATGCCTGGTGATCTCTTAGCTGAGGGCATATCTCTCAGGCCTCCTCCCTCCCTACTCTCTGGAAAGGTGAAAAGACCCAAGACTGTTACTAAAGACTGTCACCAAGACCCAAAAGACCCAAGACTGTTACTAAAGACTGTTACCCAAGACTGTCACCTGTTCTGAGTCCCGTTCCCTTGGGACATGTACTATATAATAAATTAATTTGTTAAAAATTCAGTTTCTAGATCTCTGTCCCTTGCCTGCCCCGGGGACCTATAGGAAGTTATTCAACAGAAGATTCAGCGAAATGGTCTGTTATGGAGATTAAGAAAAAAATATGTAGAACTTTTAACAAAATATGTGGCAATTAGTGAGCACTCAATTAGAGTAGGTGTCCTATATAGTAGGGGTCCTGAAGAAGCACAATGGCCGTGTGCAGGGCTTTGAAGCCCCACCCAAGGGCTTCCAGGCACACCAGCTGAAGGCAGGCCAGTGCTGGGGGGCGGGGAGGGGGCTTGATGCAAAGTAGGCAGATTACAAGGCCCGCCACGATTTGTAAAAATCCGTTTTGTGTAGCATGCTTGACATTCATGGGCATAAAAATATCTGCAGCTTTAGAAACAGAGATCGGAAAGCACTGTTGTCTGTGAAATGATCCCATAGTGGGGGAAGAGTACTGGCCTGGGGAGAGTGTTCACACGAGGCTGCTTCTCGGGGTCCAAGCATGTGGGCGGCTGCCCACTGCGTTCAACTTGGTGTCAGGCTGACCTTGTGCGAGAAGAAATGGGTCTGAGAATCTGCTTCAGAGCAGGGAGGTTGGTGGTGCCCCAACCAGAGCACTACTAATCGCCCTAAGAATCACACTGTAAAGGTTAGCTAGCTTTTGCCTTCGTGAAGAAAAAAGAGAGGCATCCGGAACTGGGAAGCAGAAATGTTGTGCTTTTGAAATGTTTCCCGACTGGTGTTCTGTATTTCATTTTAGGGAACAACTGTGTCTTTTCCATCCTCATTTGATAATGACTTCCTTTGCGAACATCAAGCAACTTTTTTTTTTTTTTCATATGTGGAAGATTGTGCCTGAGCGACAGATCCTAAAATAATTCTTGCTGTTCTCGCATAGCACACGCTCTTTTGATATTTTTAGCATATTGTCGTTGACAAATGAATACTAATCACTGGCTTCCCTTCCCTCTTTCCCCCTCTTTCAGGTCCTTAAAGAGAAGCTACCTGATTGAAGATCTGATAGTCACAAATTCGAAACCGGGCTTCCGAATCCCAGCACATAGTAAAAGGAAGAGACCACATTGATAATTATACCTGTCAAGAAGCTGTGAACACGTGGTGTATGAATTCTTTACCAAGGCGACTCGACACCGTCTTTGGGGCTGAATCCCACTGCTCACGCACTCTTTACACACACAGACCTTCCATTCGCTGCAGTGGGAATTCTCAGTGTGTAAAGGGAGAGGCTTTCCAGTCTGCAGACTGAAGTAGTACAAGAAGAATCAAGTCCATGACTTTCAGATAAATCACCAGGCCAAGACAAAGTGAATCTTTGGTCTATAGCTTTTCCAGAGATGAACGAAACCCTCATTAGGCTATATTTCAAACTGTATCAGTTCAAGGTTGTTATCACTTACAAGAAACCTACGCAGGGTACCCATACCCTGACCTTGTCCACATCCATATTGCTGAATTGTCCGAAATAGAATTCCAGTTAATTGCAAATTTAGCATTTATCCATCCCCCTCTTCAAAATGGCAAGTTGTGCTATTGATACTCTCTTCAGGTTCTAGAAGCAACTGGCTTTTTATTTTCTGTCTGCATGAATTTAATTATGCATTAATGGAGTGCAACAATTTTTGCCCAACTTTTGGTTTGCTAGAGGCAAGGGAAGAGAACTCTCATAGGGTATTTTTTTTTTAATTTAAGTATTGCTTTTATCTATGATTATTAATTCTAACAGAATATAATGTATATTTATTCCACACAATATATATTATCAGAGTGTATTTGCTACAAACTGAGGTCTTCTCTTACCAAATGTTACACATCTGGTAAGAGAACACTAGCAACAGACCTAGCTTTTGGTTAAGTTTTATATTTTTTGATTGATAAACTCTGGAGAAATCTAAACTCTTTCTACCTACACCGATACGTCGTTATAGAAATTTGTTTAATATTTTAAAGTTGAGAGCTTTACAAAGCTCAATTATGATATGTGTTCATATATATATATATATATATATATATATATATACACACACAAATACATATGTCACACAATATTTAGATCAGTTTCCCCAAAGATAAACTGGACATTTTTGGCAATCTAAGACCAAAAGTATTACTCCTTTTAAAATTATGCAGCTGTAAACCAGGATATAATATTGTAAATGAAAAGAAGCTGTTCCTTCTAGAGGGAAAAAATGCCTCGTTCATTACACATATTCATGTAGGAAAATAGACAAGGAGATACCATCTTTCAGGAAGTATCGGTTGCTGGAAAATGATCTGTTAGGAGCCCCCTATACAGATCATCCCTTTTGACTTATGATAAATCTAAGCACATAAATTGACTTTACTCAATGGAATGAATAGGAAGCAATAATCATTTAGGCACTTAAATAACTTAGGCACAAAAATGTACCGGAAAAAAGAATAAATGTTTCAGCTGAAACATCCTAGAAAGAGCGTTGAAACTGAGACAAATATTTGGATGTTCCCTTTTCTCAAATGCAGAAATTGATTCCCCAACATAGAGTTTACATTTCAGATAGTCCCCCAAATTAGAAATCCATGAAGCTCTGTTCAAGAGCTATTGCTTGAAAACAAGATAAAACCAGTCAGAATAAAATAAAACCACACATTTTCTCTTGTCCTGCCAAGTGGTAGTATTGTCAATACCAAGTTCTGCCTGTTCTTCACAACACATCACCCAGCAGAGAGCAAAGAGCGAGGAAACTAGGAGCTACACCAATTTCAACAGCCTTCTTGTAAACATATCATTTTTTACTGGAGAAAACGGGGATGGGGGAGGGGAGGGAGGGCAAAGGGAGGGAGGACCCTGAATGTTATGTAAAATAGGTTTACAAAAGAGATAAGCATGACTAAAGGGAGTGAATGGAGACCACGTGTGAGTATTACTCAGTTTGAAAGAGGTAGTTCTCATTTTTATAAGAAAAATTTAATAAAACATATATTTTAGTTATCATTTAACAAAGAAGTATAAAAGCTATTCAGACGATGCCACAGATTCTCATAAAGGGAAATCACTGCACCCTTGTAATGAGAAAATGGTCATTTCAACACATTTCAATGCCTTGTGTGAATTTGGAGCTTAAGGTTTGTTTTCATTTAACCGTAAGCGTAGGGTTGATATGAAATGATCATATGTTTTTCCATCGATATATATTGTCATGGTGTTATAGAAGCAGCTATCAAATGAACCGATACCTTACATTTGTGTTTTCTAGATGTCTTTGTATGTTATGCTTCATTTGCATAATGTTAAATGCTAATAAATGTATGCCAAGTCCTTTGTCAAAGTGAAGGGGCGATCCATCACACCTAAGGCATCTAAAGACAGATTACATGTCACAGTGGTCCCGCATACAAATGACCAAATGGCCAGGTTTGGGTTTTGTTTTGTTTTCAGTAAAATCTGGTCATTGAAATATAAACCTTCCCTTAAAGTTTTAATAAAAGTTTCTGTTCCTAAGACTTAGAGAGGCCCCTTTGTGGTTCTCTAAGTTTCACCGAAGCCAGAGGGAAAGGGAAAAAATTTACTACCACTTGTACTAATGTTCTAATGTTCTTTATTATTAATGATCCTGGTAGAGCCACTGACGTGTCCAAAATCATATTAAGGACATATCAGGTTGCTCTTACGTGAATGTCACTCTTGAGTCTCATAATTAGATATTCAAAGTTGGCGGGGGGTCTGGTATGACTATTTTTCCATGATCCTGGTGAATTTGAGTTCTTTCCTTTGGTCAGGTGGTGGCCAGATTTTGCTAAACTCTTTCCTGCTGTGATTTTGAAGGCCAGTACACAGAGCATAGTTTAGTAAAAAGAATACCTGAACCTCTCCATTTGGGGCATTTCCATTTTGATTCTGTTGCCATTTGAAATAGAACATCCGCTGGAAGATAATGAGCTTAAATTACAATTGACTTTTGGAAAAGTAACAGACTTTGTGCTTCCTCAATCATGTAATCAATGGGGAATTCTCTCCTTCTGTGAACTACCCCTATCTTTTAAGACAATGCTAAAATCTAAATGTAAAATCTAGCTTTCAGGGGCTTTTTAAGAATTCAGGGCTGTCTCGGACAAACTTGGCTAGAGATGGATTACATCAGTTTACAAATGCAGTTCTCAACCGCGACAAATCGAACGGATGTGATCCCAGCTCATTTTACTCAGCTGTGCCCATAGGACTCCAAGACGCTGGGGGATTTTGTCTATGTTATCTTAAACATCTAGAGATATCTGTGAATGGGTGAATAATGCCTGAATTTCTCATCTTTTAGCTGGTTGTGTTTATCATACAGAGTCTGTTAATAAGACCAGCTTTCCATAGGGCTGTGAAGTAGAAATCAATGCTCTGAAGACTTAGGGAAGCCAATGTTAGGCAATAGCTCCCCAAACTTGGGGCAGTCCTACCCAGAGTGGCCCTCTCTGGATCATAAACTCCACGAGAAGAAGGTATGTGCCGGCTTTGTGGACCTGCCAGATCTCTGACATCCGGTGTGGGGCCTGGCACATGATAGGCGCTCAACTGGTGTTTGTTGAATGAATGGAAGATTGGGTTTAGGTTGATAGACAAATAAACGAATCATGCCTTCAGATAATTTGAAAAATTTCACCAGCATACAGCAATTGGCACTGTAATTTTTGAATTTCATAGAACCAGAATTGACTCTTTTCATAAATAAATACTTTTCAGATAGATTGAATTTGGAATCAATTACTTGAAAAGCTTCAAGGATTTGAGGCCATTTAGATGAGGGATAGTGTTTGGGGATTAAGTTTTTAACAATGAAGAAAGCTCAGCCTTTCTAGTTCTTTATGAAAGCTCCCTGAGTTATTTTGTAAGGGCGATTAAAAAACATAGGACTCCATTTATGAGTTTTATAAAATATTCTGTTTCAATTTTTAAAAAAGGAAGAAAAGTCATGACATCAAGCACATGATTAATATCACCTTTCATATTTTCTGATAACTTCTCACTAAGGAGTTCATAGTAATTGGGGACACATCTCTAAATCTTCTGCTTTCAAAAGATCACTTCTTTCCCATTCGATTTCTAGACTATACGTGAGCTAAAGATGAATCACAGCTACTAAGCCTTTTCCAGGTATTTATTCATTTAACAAATATTTCCTGTGCACCGAGTACATGGTAGGTTCTAGACATACAATGGCAAACAAGACGGACATAGTGCCCTCCTGGGGCTTACTGTGAGGAACTCCTCCACATTTACTCTGGCGATAGCTAGGGTTTACTGTCCATCATCTCCCTCTTCACAGCCGACATAAAGAAAATCCCTGGTTCATGGAAATCATGAAAGACCCCCTGCTCATATTTTATGAGAGCTTGCTTTTCTAAAAGCAACACTCAAAAATACTACTCAGTTTGCCCATATACCATAGTTAGATCCCAGCAAGGTAGGTAAGTAATAATTTATTCATAACACTTAGCTATTACTAGGTTCTGCTGTGCTTGGTACTTTCCATAGACTATACCATTGAATCCCTTCAACAACTCTAGTAGGTTTCATTTTATAGGTAAGAAAACTGAGGCACAGGTATGCGACTTGTCCAGGTCACACAGCTAGCAGATGAAATGGGGATCTGAACCCATGCAGTGTAACATAAAAGTTCATGTGTCTAACCATGATCCGTGGTTTGGGGGATACCATTACATTAAAATAAATGGGTCATTAAATGAGTCACTGTATATAAAAGTACTTTGAAGTTGTGAAGTAGTATACAAAGAGATAGTTCAGTATTAAGGTCAACAGTCCATCAGGGGCAGAAGCAGACTGAGAACTCAATCTTACATTCACAGCTTACTCTTCGAGAAGAACACGTCAAGCCAGGGACATGGATAAAGCGCAGGTTCCGAAAAATTTTGACATGTGATAGATAGGTCAATGACTTTTCAGAATTATGTGTTAGCCACTGTGTCTATCTGGTGCTACAAGAAACAAACAGAATCCCTTGCTGAAGGGCTTCTAATAAACACAGTATGAAGCTGAACCAAGGATATTTCACATTTCCAGGGAAAGATGGGTCAATAGTACTATTTTCTCACCATTGCATGTGATCGCGTCTTTCCAATTGTTTTCTTTATTTTTCTGAAAGAGCTGCAAAACTGTGCAGTGGTTCAACCTGACCAAAGTGGTATTATGCTGCTGGGAAGTAAAAAGATTAGACACCAGACTGGAAGTATTGTCTTCATTATCAAATGACTTTTAAGTTCATTAAAGAAAAAAAGGGTGTAGGGGTGCCTAGGTGACACAGTCTGTTAAGCCTCTGATTCTTGGTTTCTGCTCAGGTCATGATCTCAGTGTCATGAGATCGAGCACAGCATCGGGCTCTCTGCCCAGTGTGGAGTCTGCTTGAGATTCTCCCGCTCTGTCCTTCTGCCCCTCCCCCACCCCCACACTCACTCTCTCTTTGTGTCTCTCTCAAATCAATCTTTAAAAAATAAAACAGTGAGTGCTATGAAGTGTGTAAACCTGGCGATTCACAGATCTGTAACCCTGGGGCTAATAATACATTATATGTTTATTAAAAAAAATTTTTTTTAATTATGTCTTTTAAAATAAATAAATAAATAAGAACAATAATAATAATAATAAAACATGGATATAGAAAGATTTTTAGATGCCAAAGGTGCCTGAATATTTGGGTGCCAAGTTCCTTGTACTTTTTCAGTCCAGACCATACAGTGGGGTCACATTTTTGAAGGGGTCAGTTCGAAATCCAATATGAAAGGCAGAAATTGAGAGTGGCCTAATGTTAGAACCCCAGTCAGTTGGATGTGACCACATTTCCAGAGGCTAGCAGGAACTGACCCCTTCTGTGGGAATAGCGAACTCCTTCTTTCATCTTACAAAGAAGAAACCTACACATGAATTACACGTGTTCTCTCTCTCTCTGCCCCTCCCAGTTAAATGTGCACGCGATGCAACTTGAGTGCTGGTTCCTGTTGGTGGCAGCAAGGAGTCCTCTTAAGA